GCGCTCCATCACCCGCACCACCAGCCCACCCCGCACGCGACTGCGACGGAGACCGCTGCTACTCCAGACCCAGCTGCCACTACTCCAGCTGCGGTGACTATTACTACATCCCCGGTCACGGCTGCTGGACCGGGAGCTTCACTTGCGCATCCCGATATAATAAAGCAGACGCCCTGCTCCCAGCCGGACCTGTCGCCTTCCATGCCTACTTCTTCCTCCCCTCCTCCATCCTCCTCTCTTGCTGCGCCTGAGGCCAACACCCAGCCAAAGAGCCAGCCACAGCACACCACCGCTGCCTCTTCATCTTCCACCACCAAGATGATCTTCTCAGACATTTACAAGTCCCCACGCTCGCCTCTCGCCAAGTTCAGGCACTCCATGTCCCAGCAGCCCTTAACGCTGGACTTGCCCGACTATGATCCAGACCTCCTGAGCAAGGATAAGGTCAAGCAGAAGGAGGCAGTCAAGAAGTACCTTGCCTCCAAGATCCGCAACGACTGGGAGTTTGTCTGGCCACCAGTCATCCCACCTCAAAAACAGAACGGCGATGCTGAGGCTGCACCAAAACCGACGCCAGCGCCAGCAACCGAGGCTGATGCGCCCGTACAAGCACCCGTAGAACAGACCCAAGACACCGCCGAGCCCAAGCCCGAAGCGACGCAGACGGCGACGAATGACGACGATGTGGCAGTCGAAAGCATGGACAGCAGTGACGACGACGAGGAGGAAGGGGGTTTCTCAGACAGCGATGCCGAGTCCGTCTACAGCACCGTCTCAGAAGACCCGGCACGCTTCAAGCCTCGTCTGGAATGGGTGTCTGACCTCTCCGACGAGGAACCCGTCCCACTGTCTCTCTCCCCGTTCCGCTTCGACAGCCCCGATGCGATCGGCGCCGCGGTGAAAGCCTCCGTCGCCGAGAAGCGTGCGGCGCGGAGGCGGGCACTGCGCGAAGAAATGCAGTGGAATGAAGGGCTGGCCTGCTTTGAGGCGAGGCGCAATGCCTGGACAGGCGCACGTACGGTGCGCGTTCGCGCCAAACCGGTTTCTCCCACGCAGACATTCTCGCCGCTGTCGCCCCGCCGCCTCTTCTTCCGCTCCTCAATGTCCCAGCCTTCGCCAGCATCTTTGGGTGCGTCTCCATCGTCGCCGCCTCATTCTCTGCAGCAGCGACCGAGCAACGATGCTTCGGCCGTTGTGTCGGATGGCTCCGAGCTCACCAAAGAGCTCACTGCGTCAAAGTCTAAGGAGTCCGCACGGTCAGCGGCATCGGCCGCGGCTGTGACGTACCCCGTCGAGACCCTGATTCCTCTACCCGCGCCCCTGCTTCCTCCCGGAAACCCAATGCGTGCATCCATCACTCCTTCAGTGTACATCTCATTGTACGAGAAGGTGATTGTACATGCCCTGACGCCCTCATGCCCCGTCAACTTGTCAGACATGATTAGAGCCTGTGTCGTAGGGTGGAAGCGAGACGGTGAGTGGCCTCCGAAGCCGGCTGCCGACGTTGGCATCGTCGCGGTGCGGCGGAGGAAGAAGTCCGCCACAGAGGGTGCAGGGCAGAACGCCGTTCGTAGAATGAGCTTCGGCTTCCTTGGCAGAGCAGAAAAGACAGAGGGCCATGACGAGGCTGGAACCGGCAAGGGCATTAGAAGAAGCCTGCAACGGGTCCTCGGTCTGGGGCAGCACCATCCCGCCACAGGAGCGGGTAATGGGAACGGGGCGGCAAACGGAAAAGAAGCGACCGCTGCATAGGGTCAGGTCCATGATAAACATGATAATGATGGAAATAATTGGTTACAATGAGTTTGACCGGGGGCCTTGTGGCGAGAAGAGGTTCACCGGTGAACCGAAGAGACTTTGAAGGAAAGGTCTTGGGCAGGCTACGCGAGAAGGGAAAGTTGTTCATGCGACTTCTGATACCCATATGGTGTAAAAACATCGATTTCAATGCCAGCATCTGCATCGTTTTGTTTGTTAGTTGGTCGACTGCTACGGGCGTTGGTCGTCCCTTTAGTTGAAAATGTGTACATGAACCATTCAACACAGACCCATGTTATGTTCTTTCTATGCCATATCCTCTGACGATCGTTGCGATACCAAGGCTACCCTCAGCCATCATCATGTGTGGGTGAATCGTTTGGGGGTTTCTTCGGCCAGTATGAAAAACTCGTCTGGAGATCATACATACGAGCCATACTTGGGAAGTCATGTATAGGGGTTGCTCTGTCGGTTTAGATGGACAAAAGCCTAATATGCCTGAATGTACATCCACTTCAAAGAATACTTGTCTTCTCATCCATGTGAGTGAAGTTTGTTCTGGCCGCAACTGCTGCTTTCTTGCCGCCGGCTGCCTTCCCTCGGTCTATGATGCTACACCGTGGCAAGCATGAAGCCCGATCATGAGGCTGTAAACAGCCCGCTGATCCTGCGCATACTTCTCCCACAAATGCTACCTAGTCTCAGTTTCTTGGTCATACCAAAGGTGTGCAGTGCCACTGGTCATCTTTCCCATGGCTGCCCAGGGGACATGCTATGAGAGTCGCCGATGCAGTGACGGCCATCATGTTTTGAAGTGCCTATTCGCTGGACATAATCTCACAACACTGCCAAGCAGCTGGTTTTCAGTTCTGTAATGAAAGGAATAAGACGAAAAGTCGTGAGATAAACTCAGATAGAATTATATGTATCTTGACGACAAGATCATGAGCCTCAACATGTTTGCCTCGCGAGCAGGAAGCAGAAGACTGTCTGTATTTCTAATTTCTCGATGAGATCCAGTACATCCTTTTATTGCCGAAAGTAAGTCTTCGTGCGTGGTGGTGTCAATCAAATGTAGACTTTCCTCGAAGAACACGCATGGAATGCAAGAGACTAAATAACATCTCAGCGCCATTGTAGAAGATGAGAGCCATAACCCACCGAGGGAACCAACTACGACACATAGTTCATGACCTGTAGCTGGTAGGAGTTTAATACGCAGAATTGTGAAAGGTCAACGCGTCGCCCTCGTTGCAGCAGAGCCTACGTACCTGTGTCGTTGAGAATACGGACCTATAGATGTTGACGGATAACGCCTCACCTGACGCAACCACATCAATCCAAATCGTGCAGGAAGATATATCCCGAATATGAGTCGAAGTGTGGGAGCTATCTTCCGAACGTGCTTATGTATGTTTGGTTCCTTTCTGTGATATTACCTGGAACAAAATAATTCACATCCCTGGACTGCGCCCAGCTTTGCACTTCAGATCTACATATAACAGCCCGGACCAACGTAGCTCGTTTGAGATTTCTTCCCGGGATAAAATCGCCCGCTGATGGTGCTCTTCCCACGTAAGAAACAGTCCCTATCAGGAAAGCTTTATGTGAAAACGCCTATATACTGGCGCCACTGGCGTCGATAAAGAAAGGGCACTCCGAGATGTATAACGATAATAATTGTACGGAAATGAAGAGAATTATCAGTTTCACGAATGAGCCCCAATCACAGACAATTGTACACAAGTCCTCCAATGTAAGAATTGGATATCACGACTACCTTCCGAGATGCAATTATCCATAAGCTCGGGCGGGAGGGCCTTGACCTGTCTTATCCAGGAGACGCAATAGACACTGCCAGCTATTTCTGATAAATAGGCGGCTTATGACGTGCGTGTAGTCTCTAAATGCAAGCACCGCAGTGAAGTTAATTTCTCTTATAGATAGCCTTCAGAGCAAACGGCAGCTACATGGCTTTGTGTTACAGCCCACTTGGTCTGCTTACCTTAGTTTTCGACATGACATTCTTCTCGTGGCTTTTCTACCCAATGATTCTCCGGACATTGTTCCCTGGTCGAATAGAGCACACGATTATAACGAAGCGAATTCTCACAATGGTGAAGCCCACATGGCTCTCTTCGCAAACTTGGACGTGTACAAAAATCCATCGATAGACATCTTCACGGTTTTCTAAAAACCACAAACCTGCTCATTCCCCACGGGTCTAGCTCTTTTATGTGCAGTCGTGAGACGCCAGTGCCACCAACGATCCTCGCCTGAGCATTGATCCTTGGCCCTGATACTCCCGAGATACAGCTCAATGCTCAGACTCAGGACTCGTCGACATTCCAGACATCCGTCAAGGACGACGCAGCATCTCACAAACACACGAAAACACGTTCCGAACGTGACACCGCCTTCCCAGCCCCGGCTTCAACACCAATCACCCGCACCCGATCTTCAGCCACTCATCCCCGCGAGACACAACTACACCCCATCCGTCGACACCCGAAAGCCCATCAGCTCGCCTTTCATATTCCAATCTGCAACCATGCTTTCCATCACAGCATCATGCCTCTAAAGCAGGTAAACGGGCGATTGGTTTAGTGGTATAACGACCCCTTCGCATGGGGTAGGTCCTAGGTTCGATTCCTAGATTGTCCATCCTTCTTGACTGCTTTCGAGGGAGGATGGCGTGGAGCGTGCAGCATGGGCGGATGATGATAGGGTTTACAAGACGAGGGAAAACAGAACAATAGCTGTTTGAACTTAGAGTAGTGGCTTAAGTCTAGAGATTCATTATTGATCAATGTTCAATGGTCGTGGCAGTGAATGAAAGAACGGCGTGTTGACACACCCAAGATAAGTGTCCGACCAAACCGGCCTTGGGTACTTCTACCCCAGAAAGAGAATCTGCATGGGATACACCAATCAGGCAGGGGGCTAACCAACGTCATAACCGATTCGCGCGGGGTGCTCACGCAAGTGACAGTCTAGAACGTTGCAGGGGCAGCTTTTTCACCGGGGCGGGGGGAGCGTAATCTCACAATCGGCACGGGACGGCGTTTGAAGAATAAGGAGATTCTCTCAACTACAAGAGGAATTAAGTAGATTTCTTGGTACACAGCTCACAAAAGAGACTTGAATTGAGCTAAGAAACCTCCCCATTCCATCGTTCCTCTTCTATACACAGGCTATATGCCCACCTCTCGACGCTCATTGGTATTTTCGTCAGGAGTCGTTTAGTTGTTCTCCAGCTCCGCCAGAATCTTCTCACCCTTCGCCTTAGCAGAGGCGAAGTCACCGACCATGTAGAAGGCACCCTCAGGAAGGGCATCACCCTCACCGGACAGAATGGCCTTGAAAGAGGCAATGGTGTCCTTAAGGTCAACGAGCTTACCCTCGATACCAGTGAAAACCTGGGCGACGGTGAAGGGCTGGGACAGGAAACGCTGGATCTTACGGGCACGCTCGACGGTGAGCTTGTCAGCCTCAGAAAGTTCGTCCATACCCAGAATGGCAATGATATCCTGAAGGGACTTGTACTCCTGGAGGATCTGCTGGACGCGGGTGGCGGTGTCGTAGTGGTCCTGGCCGACAATACGGGGGTCCAGCATACGAGACTTGGAGTCAAGAGGGTCGACAGCGGGGTAGATACCCAACTCGGAGATACCACGGGACAAGACAGTGGTGGCGTCCAAGTGAGCGAAGGTGGTGGCAGGGGCAGGGTCAGTCAAATCGTCAGCAGGGACGTAGACGGCCTGGACGGAAGTAATGGAACCCTTCTTGGTGGTGGTAATACGCTCCTGCATACCACCCATGTCAATGGCGAGGGTGGGCTGGTAACCGACGGCAGATGGGATACGACCCAGCAGGGCAGACACCTCAGAACCGGCCTGGGTGAAACGGAAAATGTTGTCAATGAAGAGCAACACTGTGACCTGGTTAGCGAGACGATCGTGGCGCATGTTGCTGCGAGAAAAAACTCACCATCCTGTCCCTCCTCGTCACGGAAGTACTCAGCAATGGTAAGACCAGTAAGGGCGACACGGGCACGGGCACCGGGGGGCTCGTTCATCTGACCGAACACCAGGGCGACCTTGGACTCGCCGTCAAGCTGAATGACGGAAGTCTCCTGCATCTCGTGGTACAGATCGTTACCCTCACGGGTACGCTCACCGACACCAGTGAAGACAGAGTAACCACCGTGGGCCTTGGCGATGTTGTTGATCAGCTCCTGAATGAAGACGGTCTTGCCGACACCGGCACCACCGAAGAGACCAATTTTTCCACCACGGGCGTAGGGGGCGAGGAGGTCGACGACCTTGATACCAGTGACGAGAATCTCGGCGGTGGTGGACTGGTCGATGAACTCGGGGGGCTCGGCGTGAATGGGAAGCTTCTTGTCGGTCTTGATGGGGCCACGCTCGTCAATGGGGTCACCAGTGACGTTGATGATACGGCCCAGAGTCGCGGGGCCGACGGGAATGGTGATGGGGGCACCGGTGTCGGTGGCCTTGGAGCCACGGACGAGACCCTCAGTACCTGGAAGAGCGTGAGTTTGAGTGCGGAAAACTTTTCCCAGGCAATAGTACTAACCGTCCATGGCAATGCAACGGACGACATTCTCACCCAAGTGTTGCTGTTGAAATGTGTTAGATGCGGAACTTTGCGGCAGTATTTTTTTCGGTGTCCGTCAAGGTACGTACCGACACCTCAAGAACCAGCTTCTGGTTGTTGTTCGTCGTCTCGAGGGCGTTCAGAATGGCGGGGAGCTTGGCAGTGTCGAACTTGACTGCGTTGTAAGTCAGTATCGAGGTCGTTGAGATGGAGGCAGGCCCCATGAAAGTTTTTCTCTCGGTGTTTACGAACCATCGACGACGGCACCAATGACCTGTGGAAGTGTTGTTGTCAGTAACCGGCATGGCCCTCGGGTTAACGGAAGGGAGCAGCAATGAGGGGGTCCACGAACCTGGTAGATCTTTCCATCACCGACACCGGCAGTAGAGGCGAATCTGCTGCTCGCGGGGAATCTGAAGTTGGCAGGTCTGATGGCGCGGCGGGTAGCGTTCGCCGCGAAAGAAGGGCGAGCCGCCCTGGCGAAGGAGGAAATGCCGCTATTCGGGCATGGTTAGCTCAATTGGGGCCAATTGAACGCGGGACGGTTCAAGGAGTCGATCAGGAAGATGGTACGAACCTCTTGAACATCTTGACAGATGAAAAAGGGCGACTTCGGATGGGAGTGGAGAGGTGATGGTTGAGGTTTGGGGGAGGACTTAGGAGGAAGTGAGCAGTTTTGCTCGGAATCTACGCTTCGTCGGTTAGAGCTTTGCTGGGGGCATCACGTGATCGGATATCGAGCAGGAAAAATTACCTCGTCACGCTATTCCCGATCTAGGCGTCCTGGTCCCTCCGGGAGACACCGGGTCCACGTTCGGGTTCAATTGGAGAGCATGACACACAGCGACACACAGCACTGGACACACTGGACGTAGCCGCAAGGACACCACTGACAACCGCTGGCGCACTTTTCTAGCCTTCCCGCTGAGCCCGGCAGCTCCTGGGAAACTGGGAACTTTCCGTCCTTCTAGCCCGATGCTGTCGAGAAGCAAAGAAAAAAAACAGACATTGAGAGATTCCACTCGCAGTGGGTACTGTGGGTGAATGTCGCAAATGTTGGGTCCTCTTTTCCTGGCAATTGTTGCAGCCCCAGGCACCAGGGAAGAAAGACCGAGAAGCCCAGCAACCAATGCCCTCCAGGTCCAGTGTCCCCAAGTTCGTGTCCCTGATTTCCCCGGTGATGAGCGCCTGCCACCACGGCTCGACTCCTCACTCTCCGCTCTCCGAACATCACCAAATCCGCCCCCGAGCCGAGGACTTTCCGCCGACACTGAACAGCGATACCGCAACTACACGGCTTCAAGGTTCAACTCACCCTCTGTAAGCCTTTGATTCCTATTTACTCTCTTTGAGTATCTTACGAAACAGAGTTTTCTACTTCATGACATCTGTAAGATGTTATTTTCATGACGGCAATGAGATTTCCCAGTGACTACGTATTAATCCTATTAACTTGAGTTTATCAAAGCTGTCACCTCTTTTTTCCCTTCTCATTCTCATGAACATCTTTTGAACATAACTTAAATTCAGTAGATAGCAGGTATATCGCTAAAAGGCGGCGCTGTGACCCGCCCTGATGCTAGTGTATCTAGGATGCTTTCCCTGCCCGTCCGTTTGCTGTAACTTGCACAATCTCTCCGTCATGGAGGGCGTGTGGTTATTACTCATAGGTATAGTTTTACAGTTGTACAAGCCAGGAATTGCGCCCGCCATTCTGATTGATCCCTTCCATTCCCATCTTCTATTCCTCGCCATTCCCTCCAGTCGTAAGGTGACCGTCTGTTTTCGAATTTACTCACCCTTCAGCTTGTCCTGCTTAACGTTGAAAGCCATCTCCAGGAACTCCTGCTCCTCCTTGTTGTGCAGGCCCTTGTTACCAGCAGCAACAGACGCACTGGGTCCACGGCCCGCGTACATGACGTGCTTGCGGTCGTGGTGCTCAGTCTGGTTCAACAGGGTCTCCAAACGAGGCTGCGTGAAGCTCCAGGCTCCCGCGTTGAGAGGCTCCTCCTGGCACCAGACGATGGTCTTGGCGTTGGGGTACTGGTCGAGGTTCTCCTTCAGTTGTTGCCAGGGGAAGGGGTTCAGCTGCTCAAGACGAGTGAAGGCGACGTTATCGATCTTGTTGTCGGCGCGGTACTTGGACAGAGTGGCCCAGACCTGACCAGAGCAGAGGATGACACGGTCAATCTCCTCCTTGGACTTAATAGCACCAGTCTCATGCTCAGGATCGGGAATGATCCATCTGAAGTGAGAATCTCCAGTGAACTCCTCAATGTTGGAGCGGGCAAGAGGGTGACGCAGGAGAGCCTTGGAGAAGAAGATGATAAGAGCTGTTTCATGTTAGCAGGCATACTTTGTTGAAAATTTGGAACCATAGCAACTTACGCTTGCGGAATTGACGGTGCATCTGTCGGCGGAGGACGTGGAACAGGTTGGACGGGCTGGTCATGTAGGCGATCTGAATGTTGCAGTCCTGGTGCTGGCGCTCCAACTTCTCAGGAGAGGGGAAGACGCGAGGGTCCTCGTTGCAGAGTTGGAGCCAGCGCTCCAGACGACCGGAAGAGTGCTCGGGACCCTGGCCGTCGTAGCCGTGAGGGAGAGAGACGACAAGACCAGTACGCTGCATCCACTTGGCCTCACCAGAAGCGATGAACTGGTCAATGATGCACTGAGCGTTGTTGGCGAAGTCACCGAACTGAGCCTCCCACATGACAAGGGCGTTAGGGGAGGACAAAGAGTAACCGTACTCGAAACCGAGAGCGCCGAACTCACTCAACGAGGAGTTGGAGATGACGAACTTGCCCTGGTCTTTGCTGATGTGCTGGAGAGGAGTGTGGGTGTCCTCAGTCGCCTGGTCGTGGAAAACAGCGTGACGCTGAGAGAAAGTACCACGCTCGACGTCCTGGCCGGAAACACGGACGTGGTGGCCCTCAGTGACGAGCGAACCGAAAGCCAGAGCCTCAGCAGTGGGCATGTCGATGTTCTGACCCTCGACAACGGACTTGGTCCTGTTGGAGAGGATACGCTTCAGGTTGCGGTGAGCTTGGAAGCCGTCGGGAGTGCTGCCGATGACTGTGCCAATGTGCTCCAGAGTCTTGCCGTCGACGCTGGTCTCGTTGTGGGGAAGAACCTCAGTGGCCAGCTCCTTGGGGGACTTGAAGCCATTCCAGGCGGAAGTGGTCCACTCCTTAGAGGTAGGCTGGTAGTCCTTGGACTTGGAGAAGCTCTCCTCGAGCATGCCCCAGACCCACTGCTTGTGCTCATCGATATCCTCCTTGGTGAAGCTGCCGTCCTCCAGGAGCTTGTTGATGTAGATGCCAATCTGGGAATCGTGGTCCTGGATGCGCTTGTACATCAAAGGCTGGGTAAAGGAAGGCTGATCGGTCTCGTTGTGGCCGTGCTTACGGTAGCAGACCAAGTCGATGATGACGTCTTGCTGGAACTCGGCGCGCCAGTCAGCGGCGATCTGGCAAACGAAGTTGACGGCCTCGACGTCGTCGGCATTGACGTGGAAAACGGGGGCATCGATCGCCTTGGCAATGTCGGTACAGTAGGGGGTGGAGCGAGCGAAACGAGGGTCAGTGGTGAAACCGATCTGGTTGTTAACAACGAGGTGGATGGTGCCGCCAGTCGAGAAGGCCGGCAGAGAGTGGAATCCAAGACACTCGTAGACAACGCCCTGAGCAGCGAAGGCGGCGTCACCGTGGAGGAGGACACCCATGGCGGTGCGGTGAGTCTTCTCGTCGTTGTTGTAGTGCTGGATAGCACGGGTCTTGCCGAGAACGACAGGATCCTCAGCCTCCAAGTGGGAAGGGTTGGCGACAAGAGAAAGCTGGACACGCTTTCCGGAGGGGGTAGGGCGCTCGAAGTTCATACCAAGATGGTACTTGACGTCACCGGAGCCTTCGTCCTCACCACCGGCAGTTCCGGCGAACTCGCTGAAGATGGACTCGTTGGGCTTTCTGACGACGTTGCTGAGGACGTTGAGACGACCACGGTGAGGCATGCCGATGACGATGTCCTTGACGCCGTAGTCAACGCTACGGTCGATGAGGGCCTTCATACCGGGAACCAGGGTCTCGCAGCCCTCGAGACCGAAACGCTTGTCATTGGGGTATTTGGTGGCGAGGAAAGACTCAAAGCTCGAACTCCAAATAAGACGGTCGAGGATACGGCGCTTCTCGTCGATAGAGTACTTGAAGGGCTGGGGAACCTCAATGCGCTCGCGCAGCCAGTCGCACTTCTCTCTGTCGGGGATGTGGATGAATTCGACACCGTAGGAACCGCAGTAAATTTTTTCGCAGGCGGCAATGATCTCGCGGAGCGTCATTTTCTCGCGGCCCTCTCTCTTGAAGCGGGGGAGAATGCCGGGTCCCAACTCGTACTCGGCGTCGAGATCCTTCTCGGTGAACTGGTAGTGCTCGAGGGAAAGCTCCTTGGGTTTGATGTTACCAAAGCCAGTGGATTCGTTTCGGATGCCCAGAGGGTCGATGTTGGCCTTGTGGTGGCCACGAGCCTGGTAGGCACGCACGAGAAGCTGGACCTTCAAGTGGTTGGTGATCTCAGAGCCCTCGCCGAGGCTGGCGCCGAGGGCAGGAACACCACCGATGGCACCAGGAACCAGAGAAGGGGGAGGAGTGAACGCCTGAGAGATGGGCATGTCGCCGTTCTCCATGTTCTTGAAGTAGACCTGCCATGAGACGTGAACGCTCTTGGGGTCCTGCTTCCATTGCATGTACATCTCATCGATGTAGTTGGCGGTGTTGCCGGACAGGAAGTTGTCGTTGGGGTTCGGGGCCGAGTCGGTTGCGCTCGCATAATGACGTTGGCTGGTCAAGGCCAAGGGGCGACGAGCAGAGGCGAGCTTCCTCGCAGAGGTTCGCGACGCGATCGTCGAGAAGCTCGACGAGGCCGTGGGTTTCGAGGCCTGGAGCACCCGAGTGCCAGCTCTACACACGGAGCTTCGCAACATGGTGGCGGTTGGGGTTGATGGGAGGGGATGTAGGGAGTCGAATGGACATGGAAAGGAAAAGGAAAACAAAAACTGAAGCTGTACGATGACGGGGCCGGGGTTGAGTCGGTCCTCGGAAGAAGGGGGTCGGGTTCGTACGGGCCTGCGGCAAATCTGTCTGGGACTGGTGGAGAAAAATTGTAGGTTTCTTAGAATAGGGATATCCTGGTCATGGCATTGGTTGCTGGTCAGTGGTCATCTGTCATCTGTGGGGATGACCTATGGCGGTCACCTGTGGCAGCAACAGTCAGCGCCGCCTCCCGGGACTTGATGTACGTAACGACATTCAATTGTTTTTCCTTCTTCTTTTTTCTAAGCCTTTGTTGCATCTTTTCTAAATACAGCCGATTGATCTTTTGCTAATAAGCTCCGAGAGATATCCTGCAATCAGTCACTTTCTCAAGATCACGGGGAACCTCACAGTGACTTTGGGAGGAAGGACCACCATGGGTACAACGCGCATTTCTGACAGGGCCGCTAGGTGATAAGACATAGATTACATCAGCTGTGGCTTTACCTGTCACCCTGCCGTTTCCGTCATTTCACTCTGGATCGTGTCTTCCAAAGAAGCGAT